TGCGAAGATCCTCCATTATACCTTTAAGTTGTGATTTATTAGAAGTGTTTATTCAGCAACTGTGGAAATTCCAAACTTGACATGCACATGCAGAACTCTGTACATCACACTCCTAAACAAAATCTTAAGAAAGTACAAAAAGGTACTGTAATACCTTCTGAACTACAATTTTTTTAATATAATAATACATTTAAGAGTTGGATGAACATGTTTATTAAAACATCAGTGTCCTTTAAAAAAAGTTCAGCACAAGTTCTTATTCAGCACATCAAAAACCGCTACAGATGCATAAATAAATAATCCAAAGGGAAGATAAATATGTGGTGGCCCAAATTGTTTACTAATCTAGGCTTCCAGAACAATGAAACTGCCCGGTTTGTAAAAGCCCTGCTATTCAACATGCACACACCAGACGCATCAGTTCATAGAGCAGCGCAATGCTCCGTCTATACTTTATTTTCCTGCTAAATTCAAGTACACAATGAAGCAAAATCATACTCAGGAGTCAGTCTGCACATTCTCAGATATGGTGGCTGCAGCACTTAGATGTGAGAAACTAAAGGAGAGCTAACAGCTGGTGGATATTTGTGCTACATTTAAAGCATCTACTGCTGATTGTGAAAGAAGTTCTAGTGTAATGAATCATATCAAAAAAAGCATCCAGAAAGCTCTTAAAACGGAAAATTTGGAGAATTAATTGAGAAGTGAAAAGCACAGATGTAAAAAATAGATGCAATTTAAGAAAAATGTATTCTAGTGAAATGTATTTCTTTATGTATGGATATCAATCACAAAATGCTTATAATATTTTAAAATATGAGTAACAGGAATTTTCACTGCATCAGAAGCTTTAGCACACAATTCATTGTACGATATGTGAATGTTTTAAAGTGAACAAAAAGTTAGGTATGAAAGATGTAACATCTTGGAGAGTTTGAACATTCAAATTCAGTGATTTTCATGACACAGAAGTACATTGTTATCAGAATATTGCGGAAGGGGCATAACACTTCAAGTGAATTTGTTTTTGTGCCCCTAAATACTTTGAAACGGCCCTGCTTTCTTTTGTGGCATTGAAGTAGAGACTGTGCACTTTTTAGAATTGCTAATTTAAACATTGCGTTTGAGCTGGGTAAACTGCTTCTTAGGACTCTGCCCATCAGTAATTGTGCAGGAGAAAAATCCAATCCCATGATGGGTGTGTTTTTTAGAGCCAGTAGAGCAAGAAAATGATCAGGGTTAATTTGCATATGCTTTTTTAAAAAGTGTTTTTTAAACCTTTTTTTTTATAATTAATTTACTAATATTCTTCCTTTCTTACAGATACCCTTATGTCAAGATGATTAGCCACTTCGTCGTGCACTTCTGTATTTTGGGTACTTTTATATTTTAATATTCTATAGTGTGACATTATATGCCATCTGCATTGGAAATAAGTAATGCATTTTTACTTCAGAGTTTTTATTTCTTGCAGGTTCTCTTTACGGCACATCCCAGGCCTGGGATGTTAAAATGCCAAAACACATCAAGGGATTGTTGGGCTCCTGCCTCACCATCCCTTGCAGCTTTGACTATTATTGGAATCCACCTAGAAGACCCGATCGAGTGGTTTGGTACTAGTATGTAAGCAGGGGATATCCTTTGGTCTATGACAAGTGGTACCCAAATGATGTCATACCATTATATAAAGGAAGAACCAGCGTATTAGGATATCGGAAATCTTGCAACCTTAAGATTGAAACTGTGAAATGGAATGACCACAGACAGAAGCTTTATCCTTGGGTGGATCCAGAAAATGTTGGCAGTAGCACATGTGCATTCTATGAGACAACTGTGACGATTGAAGTAGTTGGTATGCTCTCAGTTAAAACCTTGAACACAATTACATAATAAGTTGTAAGATATATTTTCAAGTCTCTACATTTCTTCCATAGGCTCACCAAAGGATCCAGAGATTACGATCACCGGTGAAAGAAAAGCTGGAAATACTGTAACTGTAAAATGTTCTGCTGAACACACATGCTCCACCAATCGCCCAAATCTTTACTTGAACATCCCACTGAGAAATGAATATTTAACTCACAATGTGATGTCTGATGGCACTATTATAACCTCTTTAACAACAGATTTAGTCTTAGATAGAAACTACCAAGTTGTGGAGTGCACTGTCAGGCATCCAGGTGGTAAAACAGCAGAAAAATCTGAAACCCTTTATGCAGAATGTTAGTGATAACTCTTAATATCTAAATCATCAACCAAATGTCTGTAAATGTGTTTCAGTCATGATTCTCCTCTTTTTATTTCAGGTTCTTTTTCATCATTGACTATCAGCTCCTCATCAAGTGAATATCTTGAAGGAGTTGCAAGCACGGTAACATGTTCTGTTTCATACACTTGCTCTAACAATAAACCGACGTTTACTTGGAACTATGCTAACATGCCAGCTACCAGCAATACTTACAAAGATGGTACTTGGTGGAAAACTACTTCTACACTGACATTCACACCATCAGCCAAAGACCATGGAAATCATCTGAGATGTTCTGCACATTTTCCTGGACGATCAACCCAGGATAGGAGTATCCCCATATTGGTAAAAAGTAGGCACCAATCACTATTTGTATTTAAAATATTAAAGTATTTAGATTTTTATTATAACTAGTCTCTAGAAAATATTTCCCGAATTTAAAATGTGTAGAATGTAATGTTTTTTTTTTTTTATTATTGTGATATGTCATGAATGTGTGATCCTGATATAACCTTAGATTTTCCCTCCTTTAAAGCAAGCATTGTATGGTGGAGAAAATTTAAATACATAATTTTTTCTTAAAAAATTTTTTTTCTTTCTTGTTTTTTCTAAAACAATTTAAGGATTGTCATTAAGACGTTCTTTAGCTGAGAAACCTGCGTCAAACACAGCACTGCAATTTTATATACAATTTGACAGAAATATCCTCCACTATAGCATTTTATCCCACATACATCAGGTAAAATAATTATTAAGCACACCACCATTTCTCTCAGTATATTACTAGAGGTGCTATTGACATGTCAGATGTTCGTATCAATCCATGCCGTCCACACATACAAAGAAATCAAACCATAGATTTCCAGAAATTAAGTGAGTTGTAATAATGTGGAATGGAACAGGGAAAAAGTATTGAACATATAAAGGAAGGGAGGGGCAAAAAGACATGGAAAGCCAAGTCACCAGCCGTAATTAACTAATATCAGCTGGTTCAGTCTCAAAGGATGACTTATAAAAAGGTGTCTCTGTTATCACACAAGAAACATCTCATGATGGTTAAAGTAAAGAGCTTTCTCAAGACCATCGCAACCTTAGTGTTGCAAATCATAATGATAGCATTAGTTACAGAAAGATTTCTAAACTTCTGAATGTTCCAGTGAGCATTATTGGGACCATAATCCGGAAGTGGAAAGTACATCATTCCACCATTAACAACCATGACCAGGTGCTCCTGGCAAGATTTCTGAAAGAGGAGGGAAAATAATTATCAGAAGAGTTGTCCAAGAGCCAGAGCCCACCTGTCGAAAGCTTCAGAAAGACCTGAAATTAGCAGGTATAATTTTTTCAAAGAAAAAAAAAATAAGTAATGCACTCAACTACCACGGCCTGCATGCATGCTCACCACAGAAGACTCCATTGGTGAAGAAAAAGCATGTTGAAGCTCGTTTAAAGATTGCTTCACAACATTTAAAAAAGCTTGTGAAATACTGGGAGAATTTAGTCTGATCAGATGAAGCCAAATTTATCTTTTTGGATGCCATAATACACATCCCGTTTGGGGGTCAAATGGCACTGCACTTCACCCCAAAAACATCAGACCAACAGTGAAGTTTGGAGGTTAGAACATTTTGTTGTGGGGCTGTTTTTCAGCATATGAGTCTGGTAAACTTTAAATAATTGAAGTAAGGATTAACAGAAAAATGTAAAGAGACATTCTTGATAAACATCTGCTGCCATCTAAGAGGATGATGAAGATAAAACATAGGTGGACATTTCGGAAAGAATATGATCCCAAACAGACAGCCAAGGACACTCTCAAAGAATGGCCCAATCACCTGACTTGAATCCAATATGAAATCTATGGAAATAACTAAAGATCAGTTCATAGAAAAAGCCAATGAAACCTTCAAGATTTGAAGACTGTTGGTGTGGAAGAATGGGCTGAAGTCACACCTAAGCAACGCATGTGACTAATTTCTCCACGCAGAAGGTGTCTTGAAGCTGTCATTGCCAACAAAAGCTTTTGTACAAAGTATTAAATACATTCCAGTAAGTGTTTTCAGTACACTTTCCCTGATTTCACCTTGGTAAACATAACTTAAGCTCTGGACATTTATGGTTTGATTTCTTTGCATGTGTGAATTGCATGGATTGTTACCCACATGTGGTGAAAATAGGTTAATAATGCCTCTAGAAATATATGTACTGAGAGAAATGGTGGCATGTTTAATACTTATTTATCCCGTTGTATATGACAATTTTTGGATTGATTTATTTCATATCTTTTATTACATAAAAAAACAGGCAACGTGATCCACAGTCTGCACATGCAGTTTTTTTATTTCTGAACTTGACAGGATCTACTTTGCTTTTCATCAACTTTGTTTTTCACCAATTGTCTTTCTGCCTGAACAATCAAGCGGCTAAAATAAAACAGCTTCCGGCACCTCTAGAATGCACCGCAATGCATTCAATGGAATCACTCTGATTGTCTAGAATTGCAAGAATTACACATGGCGAGTCAAGATTTAAGAGTCAATATAGCTAATTGCAAACAACAGCCTATTCATTTAGCAGCCACAAGGCACAAAGAAAGACAAGACACTCTAGTAGCAACATAAAGTTGCGAATATAGATGTAGGCTTACAGTTTTCTCCTTAGCATATCTGTTACTATTTATTGATAATGCTAATTCTAATATGTAACAAAAATTGTTACCCTTTGGATTTTGCTTTTTTCAGGAAACATGCTCAATCTGGGATGGTCTGTCACTACTCCAAGAAGCTTGACAGGATTAAAAGGGTCATGTATCATCATTCCTTGCAAGTTTACCTACAGTAATTCCCAGCCAGGTGGCCTCCAAGTTTTATGGTACTTGTACCAGAGTAATGGCTATCCAGCTGTATTCAACCAAAAAGGAGGAAATATTTTGAACAGATATGATGGGAAAACAAGTTTAACAGGCTCTGTGTCAGAGGGGAATTGTAGCCTTAAAATAGAAAGGCTGGAGATGTATCACAATCAGGAACGACTTTACCCATGGATCGATGAGCACCCAATTACTTCCTACCATTCACAGGGACACTCATTTTTGGATAAAAGCACTGAGATTATGGTTTCCGGTAAGTATATACATATATAATTAGCAGTGATGGGCAGTAGCGCCGCTACATGTAGCGAAGCTATTAGTTTAACTACATTTTCCAGTAGCTTGACCGTAGCGTCGCTGCTTTATTTATCAAGTAACTTTCCTGTAGCGACGTTATTGTTTTGATCAAGTAGTGACGTAGCGTCCACAAACGCTACAAAATCCAGGGCAAAACTAAGAAATGAAACCAGGTTTTCTATTTCTAAACAACAATCAGCCACAAAACTACTGTAAATAGCAGTTTCAGCTGACGCTCTTATAAGTGGCGTAGTAGCACAGGCACACTCAGTAGGGTTAAACAAGCGCACCCTTTCCGAGGCTGTCGTTCTATTAGCTGGAAAGGTTGCTAGGCAACAATCCAACTGCAGTCTGAGAGCAAAACAAATCCGCAAGCAGAGCCTACGGGTTTGCGAGTGTAACAGAGCGCGGTTTGTGCGCGAAGAGAAGGAGGCAAGCGAGAGGAGAAAATATCTGTGCAAGAAGCATTAAATCTGAGAGAAGAAACAAAGATTTGAGAAAGAAGAGAAAATATTTGAGAGAGAGCGCATGTTTTGAGTGTGAGCATTATAAGTTTTGAGAGCAAGAAGATGAAATTCTTTTCTCTAATTGAAGTTATGTGCTCTTGCATTATGGCAGGATAATTCTCCCATATCTATGTGCCACTAAGATACTCTAATTAGAGAGCAGTAGTGAAACTTCGATATTGTATTTTCATGGCCTAGTTTACCTGACAGGATGTTTACATAAATCTGTTTTTAGGCTGGAGGAACAGCTCTACCGTATATAAAATAAATACATAAATAAATAAATGCTCAATAAATAAATAAATAAGCACTCAATTAATTGCCTCCAAAAATACAATGAATAAATATGTAGGTAGAAATTAAATTATATGGTGAGACATATATACAGGTGCTGGTCATAAAATTAGAATATCATGAAAAAGTAGATTGATTTCAGTAATTCCATTTAAAAAGTGAAACTTGTATATTATATTCATACATTACATACAAACTCATATATTTCAGATGTTTATTTTGTTTAATTTTGATGATTACAAATGACAACAAATGAAAATCTCAAATTCATCATATCAGAAAATTAGAATATTGTGAAAAGGTTCAAAATTGATGGCCCCCGGTACCACACTCTAATCAGCTAATTAACTCAAACCACCTGCAAAAGCCTTTAAATGGTCTTTCAGTCTAGTTCTATAGGCTACACAATCATGGGGAAGACTGCTGACTTGACAGTTGTCCAAAAGACGACCATCGACACCTTGCACAAGGAGGGCAAGACACAAAAGGTCATCGCTAAAGAGGCTGGCTGTTCACAGAGCTCAGTGTCCAAGCACATTAATAGAGAGGCGAAGGGAAGGAAAAGATGTGGTCGAAAAAAGTGTATAAGCAAGAGAGATAACCGCACCCTGGAGAGGATTGTGAAACAAAACCCATTCAAAAATGTGGGGGAGATTCACAAAGAGTGGACTGCAGCTGGAGTGAGTGCTTCAAGAACCACCACACACAGACGTATGAAAGACATGGGTTTCTGCTGTCGCATTCCTTGTGTCAAGCCACTCTTGAACCACAGACAGCGTCAGAAGCGTCTTGCCTGGGCTAAAGAGAAACAGGACTGGACTGCTGGTGAGTGGTCCAAAGTCATGTTCTCTGATGAAAGTAAATTTTTCATTTCCTTTGGAAATCAAGGTCCCAGAGTCTGGAGGAAAAGAAGAGAGGCACTTCATCCACGTTGCTTGAAGTCCAGTGTAAAGTTTCCACAGTCAGTGATGGTTTGGGGTGCCATGTCATCTGCTGGTGTTGGTCCATTGTGTTTTCTGAGGTCCAGGGTCAACGCAGCCACATACCAGGAAGTTTTAGAGCACTTCATGCTTCCTGCAGCTGACCAACTTTTTGGAGATGCAGATTTCATTTTCCAACAGGACTTGGCACCTGCACACAGTGCCAAAGCTACCAGTACCTGGTTGAAGGACCATGGTATCCCTGTTCTTAATTGGCCAGCAAACTCTCCTGACCTTAACCCCATAGAAAATCTATGGGGTATTGTGAAGAAGAAGATGCAATACACCAGACCCAACAATTCAGAAGAGCTAAAAGCCACTATTAGAGCAACCTGGGCTATCATAACACCTGAGCAGTGCCACAGACTGATCGACTCCATGCCACGCCGCATTGCTGCAGTAATACAGGCCAAAGGAGGCCCAACTAAATACTGAGTGCTGTACATGCTCATACTTTTCATGTTCATACTTTTCAGTTGGCCAACATTTCTATAAATCCTTTGTTTTTATTGGTCTTCAGTAATATTCTAATTTTCTGATATGATGAATTTGAGATTTTCATTTGTTGTCATTTGTAATCATCAAAATTAAACAAAATAAACATCTGAAATATATGAGTTTGTATGTAATGTATGAATATAATATACAAGTTTCACTTTTTAAATGGAATTACTGAAATCAATCTACTTTTTCATGATATTCTAATTTTATGACCAGCACCTGTATATATATATATATATATATATGTATCTCTTAATTAGCTTCTTTATTTTTTCACCTTCTTTTGTAAACAGTTTTGTTTGTTACTTGAATCAACTGTTTAATTGAGGTCTTTTGTAGGGTTTCGTTTTCCCTAGAGATGTCCAATGAATGCAAACTCATAGCCATGTCTCGGTGTGTAGAACACTACACAGTACCTTTAATTTGGTTCTAATAACAGCAGATTGTTTACTAGTTTGTCTACTAGTAATTACTTTAGTTTTTATTTTAATATGCTGATCATAAAGCAATGTTTACACTGTGTTATGTCATTGGCTGATCTTTAATACATATTTTAACCAGTGCATCAGACTCATTTTGAATTGACATTAGGTTGGTACAACGTTAAGTAGCTTCTGATGTAGTTAAGCTACTTTTAACACATTAGTGTAACTTAGCTTGCTATAATTCTTTAGGTGGTAGCTTTTGTGTAGTGAAGCTTAATTTATTGTTGAGTAACTGATAGCTTAGCTCACTACACTGGACAAGTAGCTTGCCCAACACTGATAATTAGATATATAATTGTCAAAAAAGAAAATAATCATTTATGCTAAATTCTGGGCCATTTTTCCCTTTCCTCTTTTTCTGGGATCTACCTACGTGTCATAATCGATTAACTTAAAATCTTTCTTTGACCTTATAGACCATGCACAAGCTCCACAACTGAGCATAATTGATCTCCCTAGGGTGGGGGAAAAAAGCAGAGTTGCCTGTATAGTGCAGCATACATGTTTTGCTGCACCCCCTGCCCTGTCTCTGGATGGGATACCTGGAACAGACCACATTTTCGACACCCCAGTGTCAGAAGGGATTTGGGAAAGAAAAATTGAAAGAACATGGACTGTTCAGGAAGACCACAGCAGGGTGGAGTGCACTGTGAGATATGCTGGTGGACAGAGTGCCAAAAGCGAGCTTCAAATACATGTCGAATATAAGTATAAATATAGATGTTGGTATTTAAATTCTGTTACTTTAAATATTCCTTAGAAGGTAAAATAAAATAAATAAAAAAAACTCTCAATTTGCTTTGTTAAATGTCCTAATGAAGAAATCAAAATGAATGAATCACCAGGAGAGTTGACAGAGGGTGTGGCAAAGAGTGTGATTTGTTCTGTGTCCTACAAGTGCAAAAAAAATAGACTGACAATTGAATGGAACTATTCAGACATGCAGAGTGAAGTAACAAACTACTAACAAGTTAGTTATAACTACATCCAAGTCCAATCTAACATTTATTGGATCTCGGGAAGACAACAGAAAACCTTTGACTTGTACTACACAGTTTGCCACTGGAGAAACCTCATACTCCACAGATCTCAGTGTAAAAAGTGAGTCTTAACACATAGCACACAATGTTCACCAGTGATGGGCAGTAGCGCCGCTACATGTAGCGAAGCTATTAGTTTAACTACATTTTCCAGTAGCTTGATCGTAGCGTCGCTGCTTTATTTATGAAGTAACTTTCCTGTAGTGACGTTATTGTTTTGATCAAGTAGCGATGTAGCGTCCACAAACGCTACAAAATCCAGGGCATAACTAAGAAATGAAACCAGGTTTTCTATTTTGAAACAACAATCAGCCACAAGCTACAGTAAATAGCAGTTTCAGCTGACGCTCTTATAAGGGGCGTAGTAGCACAGGCACACTCCGTAGGGTTAAACAAGCACACCCTTTCCCAGGCTGTCGTTCTATTGGCTGGAATGGTTGCTAGGCGACGATCCAACTGCAGTCCGAGAGAGCAAAAAAAAAAAAAAATCCGCAAGCAGAGCCTACGGGTTTGCGAGCGTATCTGAGACTCGTGCAGAGCGCGGATTGTGCGCGAAGAGAAGGAGGCAAGCGAAGCGAGAGGAGAAAATATCTGTGTAAGAAGCATTAAATCTGAGAGAAGAAACAAAGAGAGAAGAGAAAATATTTGAGAGAGAGCCCATGTTTTGAGTGTGAGCATTATAAGTTTTGAGTTCAAGAAGATGAAATTCTTTTCTCAAATTGAAATGATGTGCTCTTGCATTATGGCAGGATAATTCTCCCATTTGTGCCACTAAGATACTCTAATTAGAGAGCAGTAGTGAAACTTCCATATTGTATTTTCATGGCCTAGTTTACCTGACAGGATGTTTACATAAATCTGTTTTTAGGCTTTGCACAGACAAGATTTTTTTATTTATGGAGGAACAGCTCTACCGTATATAAAATAAATACATAAATAAATAAATGCTCAATAAATAAATAAATAAGCATTCAATTAATTGCCCCCAAAAATACAATGAATAAATATGTAGGTAGAAATAAAGGTATATGGTGAGACATAAATATATGTATCACTTAATTACCTTCTTTATTTTTTCACCTTTTTTGTAAACAGTTTTTATTTGTTCCTTGAATCGACTGTTTAATTGAGGTCTGAAGAAGTTTTCTCTAAGGGAGACCCTAAAGAAATAAGATGCCTTTTGTAGGGTTTTGTTTTCCCTAGAGATAACCATTGAATGCAAACTCATAGCCATGTCTCCATGTGTAGAACACTACACAGTACCTTTAATTTGGTTCTAATAACATCAGATTGTTTACTAGTTTGTCTATTAGTAATTACTTCAGTTTTTATTTTAATATGCTGATAATAAAGCAATGTTTACACTGTGTTATGTCATTGGCTGATCTTTAATAAATGTTTTAACCAGTGCATCAGACTCATTTTGAATTGACATTAGGTTGGTACAACGTTAAGTAGCTTCTGATGTAGTTAAGCTACTTTTAACACATTAGTGTAACTTAGCTTGCTATAATTCTTTAGGTGGTAGCTTTGGTGTAGTGAAGCTTAATTTGTTGCTGAGTAACTGATAGCTTAGCTCACTACACTGGACAAGTAGCTTGCCCAACACTGGTGTTCACTAATGTAATCAATTCAATTTATTCAGTTAAATCCAAGAGTCAACTAATATTGAATCATTTTCATTTCAATTTTAGTTTCATTTAATTGGGTTTTTTGGGGTTTTTTAATTCAAAATTATTTTCTTCTCCATTGTGATCAACGCTAAAAAGAAAAATCAGCTCCAACTTAAATTAATTTCTTCAATAATTTATAAATAACTGAATTTCGTGTGACTGAATTTATTAAAGTTTTTAACCTTATAGACTCAATAAATTGATTTGGATCAACTGGATTTCATTAGTTTACTTTATCAATTAAGCTAACTCTGTATTTTCTTTTGTATTTTCTTTTATGAAGAACTGTAGAGAACTATTTTTTTTTCTAAATACAGTATCCTTCAGTTTTAACATCTCTTGGAACTGTTCTATATAACATCTGAAAAGTACAAGTTTGCAACATAGTATTTGCTGTGTAAAAGATGACAGAATCAATATGAGGAGGGACCCCACAACATAATACACTGATCCTATCTAGAATGTTTTTAGACTTAATATTTAAATGTTGCCAGGTGATTTGACCTAAATAGATACTTTGATCCACTACCATTCACGAAATAAACCCATAATGTTGTGGTCGCACGCTGTATTGATATGTAATTGTTTTACTGAATATATATTCCTTATATCTGACAAAAACCTTTTCCTTGTCAAAATTACATACTTCACATCTAGAATAAAGATCCTGGATGTCTAGAAATTAATTTCAGATCTCTATATTCCTGTTGTTACTAGTGAGTATCTTCATTATTTTGATTATGGAGAAATGTATCACAGAAATCATAAATACATATTCAGTCAAGCTGATAAATGTCAAAATGGCCACTTAAAATATGTAAACATTTCTAGATATTTAATTTTTTTTCATACTACTATAAATCCATTTTTTTATTTTCCAAAATTTAGTTTCTGCTCCAAAAACATCATTGAGAAAATAAATTATTACAGTTTAGTCTAGGAGTGGGATTTTTATCAAGAAGAAACTTATTTTAGTGATCTACAAATGAAACAGAGAGGAGAGAACTTTTAATAAATGAAAAAATGGCCTGCCACTTCATATAAACTTAATCATTAATGAATGCAACAATATTTTCCTTAAACCATCTTGCCCTCCTTTGCAGCTGTAGCACTGTTTCTCTGTGTTTTATAAACATTCTCCTTTTTTTTCATTTCTTCATTAAAATCTTAAGTTCCAGTAGGGTGAATAAAGTACTTCCTGTTGCCTGTCGTCATGGTGATTTGTCAAATCGGGGCTCCACTGATAATGGCTCTTTGTTACGCATGTGTTCAATTCTGAATGGACCTACTTAGAGTTGATTGACTAAATTCATGGAAGCCATAGTCAAACCAAAAACTGAGTTCCCCACATTATGCTAGATCAATTTAGAGCTGTGGATTTGAATCTGAGTTTGTCAAACCTGCTGCATGAAATGGACCCCTGGTCAGAAATGACAATCGGTAAACTTTATAATCTATTTGCAAAACTTGGACTTATGGCTGACCATTCTTACAAAAACATTAGGGTGGAAACATCATACCATGGGGATTTTATTTTGCATTGACAGGGAAGCTGGTCAAATTTTATGAGAACATGGATGGAGCTAATTAAAGAAAACCTTTTTGAGGATGGAGTTTGATTACCTTATGGCTCAGTTATACATTTCAGCATAATATATATATATATATATATATATATATATATATATATATATATATATATATATATATATATATATATATATATATATATATATATATATATATATATATATATATATATATATATATATATATATATGAAATGCAGCCAGAAACAAAATTGTCTACACCAAAGCTTACAGATAAGTAAAAATAGTCCAGTCATATTTCTAGCTTAAATTTCATTGAGAATCAGTTGCATGACTTGAAAATTAGTTTTTGCTTTAGATTCTCACTAGATAATTTGAGCTTGAACCATTTTGAAAAGTAGAATTGTCAAACATTTCAGTGTTTAAACCAATAAGGCTAGTGAAGACTCAGATGAATTTTGGCTGCAAAATGTGACACTAGAAAACGCTGACCAGTAAACCATGCTTTGATATTCAGTTTAATAAGCTAGTCAAATTGGTAGTTTATGCTTATGTTTCAAATATAACCAAAAATGTCAGTTTAATCAAACTAAATCTTACATTTCATTCTTTCTTCTGTATCATTTCATATTATGGCTGCAAATGTGTATATCTATAAAGAAAACCTTCCCATTGCTGTAACATTTTACAATGAGTTAGACAAAATTTGACTAACCTCTATAGAACACCTTGGGAATTCATCCAGAACTAATGGGAAACCAACCATCACTTACTGGGGAACACACAACTTAGCCTCATAATATGCTACTGGAATACACCCTCCAATTTTAAAAACCAGACCTGACTGGGAAAAGCACTGCCCAGCCATATTACCCAGTACTTAGTGAGGAGCACACAGTAAAGCCTTATTGGGGGAATTATGTCTATTTTTAAGGAAATCAAACAATCAGGAACTAATTGGTAGTTGGAGTAGTAAATTATTACTAACCAGGAGAACACTTAGACTCTGTGTATACAAAGCCAAATTTTGTTTAGTACAGCTTTTCAAATAAATGAACATTTCCATTCAATAAAGAGACAAGCAGTGATCAAATGTAAACAGTGTGGGAGACAAAAACATGTTGCAAAAAATGCATTGATATGGAAGTTCAGAGCATAAATATATTTGGTGCAAATATGCTGTATCTTTGGTTTGGTGTTACCAGTGTGATATAGATTCTGTGACGTGAGTTAGAGATTTTTTCTTTTTGTTTGTTTTTAACAGTTCAGCTGCCTGATGGCAGTGGGGAAGAAACTGTTTCTGTATCTGCTGGACCTGCATCGAATGCTACGAAGCCTCTTCCTCAAGGACAGCAGAGAGAACAGTCTATGGTGGAGATGTTAGGGGTCA